GTGAAGATATATTATACCCTGGGTTTAATGTGTGTAAATATATATATTTTGATGTAATATGTACATATGTGAATATTTGTATATGTATGTGACAATGCACTTACTCATGCCAATTGTTTAATTTGGCATTTCTAGCAATATGCATTCTCTTTCTCTCACACATACAGTTAATTAGCCACGTACCTCTAACTTGCCACACTAACACAAACATACTCTCCCACTAATTTTATAAATGCACATTCACACTAATTAACACTAAAGCTATCACAGTCACTTACACATATATTAAATAACACACACTCACTAAATGACATGAAAACTTAGACACATATCACACATACACTAATTTATACAACATACAAGTCACATACACAAAAACTACACTAAAGGGATAGTGAAGTGGTCTGGGTGCACTGTCCCTGTCTCCCTAAAAGGGATTATATAGTGTAAGGAATACAAATCTGTATTTGTATTCCTTACACTGTAACAAAATCCCTCATTGCTTGTAGTAGTTATGGTGATTTTTCTCGCAGTGGTTATGGTGTGGATCACGGTACTAGCATTGTATTCCAACCAAGAACACGCTCCTAGACTCTGGTTACCCTGGGACTATGGCCCCTGGAGTGCATTTCCGGTTACAAACTCCATTTCTGCATCTTGGATGTTAAAAACTATGTCTGGCCCTTTAACTCTGCTGGGAAAGAATCTGTTATTTTAAAACCGGTGTGACCAACTGCCCTGTTCCTCTGGCTTTCCATGTGCCAAACTGCCCTGCTCCTCTGGCTTATGGAGAAGCCTGCTTGCCAGCTATATCGCTACTAGCACTTATAAGAGCTCTCTCCAGCTAACCTGCTACACCTTCTGGAAGGAGAGCCCCAGCTATACCCTCCTGGAGGAGGGAGCCCCGCTCTACAAGACCTTGAGTTGGAGCTCTGCCGTGGTCTCCAGTACTGGGAAGGAGGACGCCCAAACGGTAGATACCCTACTCCATAGGGGTAACCGTCACATACACACTATTTCCCTCTGGAACGCCCCTCTTTATACTTCCTCTCTTGGCAAACTTTCCAATACCACCTGTACGCTGATGACAGTCAGATATATCTCTCCTCCCTGGATCTCTCCCCTGCCGTCCTGCAACGAGTCACTGCTTCCATCACTGATTGGATGTCCTCCCACTTTTTGAAACTCAATCTCTCTAAAACTTAACTCATTGTATTCCTCTTCCTAATACTGACCCCCCCTGTTGCGCTCTCCCTTCGAGTTAGTGGTACCCACATCAGGCCATCCTTGCAAGTGCACTGTCTTAGCGTCAAACTTGATTCTGGCCTCACATTCAGTCTGTTGCAAAATCCTGTAGATTTCACCTTAAAAACATAGCCCGCATCCGCCTCTTTCATACGCAAGATAATGAGGAGCTTGTCCATGCTCTAGTAATCTCTCGCATGGATTATTGTAACTCTCTCCTAATAGGTCTTCCCACAAATCGTTTTGCCCCACTACAGTCTAATGAATTCTGCCGCCAGACTGATTTTTCTCTCTAGTCGGTCCTCTCACATCTCTCCCCTCTTTAAGTCCTTACATTGGCTTCCTGTATCCTATAGGAGTCAATCCAAAGTGCTAACCCATACCTATAAAGCACTGATCAATTCTAGCCCCTCTTATATCTCTTCACAGATCCATAGGTATGCCCCCTTCTCGGACTCTCCGCTCTGCCCATGACCTTCTTCTGTCCGCTGCTCGCACCCGTACGGCCAACTCACGCTTGCAGGACTTCTCGTGGGCAGCTCCCTTCCTATGGAATAGCCTGCCTACTGCCATCAGACTCTCCCCTAGTCTTCAATCATTTAAAAAGTGCCTTAAAACCCATCTCTTTAGGAAAGCTTATGGCCTGCCAGAGTAACCTCTACCTCACATACCAGTCCCTTGCTCTCTCCTAAAGGGCAGCACTTTACTCTCTCCTCCATCTCTGCTTCACTCCCACCTTGTTTGATTGCTATCTCCTGTCCTGTTGTGTTTTATACCCCACCTCCTATAGACTGTAAGCTCATTTGAGCAGGGCCCTCTTCAATCTATTGTTCATGTAAGTTTTTTGTAACTGTCTTATTAATTGTTAAATATCCCCGTTTGATAATATTGTAAAGTGCTACAGAATATGCTGGTGCTATATAAATACCAGTAATAATAATAATTGAGCTGAATAGTTTCCCTTTAACCCTATAATGTAAATCACTGCAGTTTTGAGTACCAAGACTGTCTCTAGTTGCTGTCTACCAGATATGCTATGCTATAAACATAACAGTGATACAATTAATTCCAATAGAACAAACACATTTATGGGGTAAAAGGTTTCAAATATGTCTGTTTTACTAATTTCTAAAGCCCCCCCTCCCTTGTGTAAATTAACATGGTGGCAAAACTAATATCGAATGCTAACACAGCAATTTCTTCTTCAATGGTGCTATACAATAAACATGCTTTCTATTATGTTTCAAAAAGATGTACTAAGGAAAACAGGAGTGTAAATGCAGCTTGGTTAAAATTGTGGTAAAATTGCAAATAGTCTATGCCTATTAATCCCCTCAATATGTTGAAATTTGTTTAAATTAATTTCTAATAAAAGAATACTGCTCAGTTCACTAACCTTACGTTTCTGTTTTCCGTCATAATCTTCTGTTGTCATCTGTTTTCTGATGAGAGATCACTGTGTGGTCTTTGAAAACTGTTGACATGCAATCAATATATAAAGCATAAGTTCCATTCTGTTTGTAATATGCTCCGAGTGATTATCCAACCCTTGTGTGTATACCTATCCCATCCTGACACTGCAATGGGTTTGGCAGTTTCCTGTCCTATGTCTTATTACCTACTGGCTCATTAGATGGGCTACTTGTACAACAAATTAAAATCGAGCTAAAGACAAATCATGCAACACTGAAGAAACTATAGGGGATTTTGTATAAAGATTAATTCTAGGCAGAATTTCTAGAATTGGAGAATCAGCAGTAATATTCCATTGCTTTCCATGGTAACTGCTCCAAGCTAAGAACTATGCCTTATAATTACTCAATCAAACCCAATAGTGTTTACCATTGTAAGGCATTACATTTAATATTTTTGGATATGCTTTTCAAATTATTTCAGATTTGTTTGAAATATTAAAAATAAAAATGTATATTATACTTTGTATTATAATATATATAGTATATAATATTTTATATACTATATATTATTATGATATTTATAGAGCGCCGTCAAATTCCGCAGCGCTTTACAGTGGGTGGATGAACAGACATGTAGTTGTAACCAGACAAGTTGGACACACAGGAACAGAGGGGTTCAGGGCCCTGCTCAATGAGCTTACATGCTAGAGGAAGTGGAGTAAAATGACACAAAAAGGTAAGGATAGTATTAGACTAGTGACAGTTGCAGAAGAGGAATCAGTCAGGAGCTATTAACAGTTTAATTGATACGCTTTTATGAAGAAGTGGGTTTTTAACTATTTTTTGAAGGAGTGGAGACTGGGTGAGCATCTAACGGAGGAGGGAAGCGAGTTCCACAGGAACGGTGCAGTCCTCGAGAAATCTTGAAGGCGAGCATCAGAGGTGGGAGTACGGACAGAAGATAGACGTAAGTCTTCAGCAGATCGTAAGGGCCTAGACGGGACATACTTGTGTATAAGGGAGGATAGGTGGGAGCAGCATTATGTAGAGATTTGAAAGCAAGAACCAGAATTTTAAATTGAGCTCTATATTTTATAGGAAGCCAATGTAAGGACTGACAGAAAGGTGAGGCATGAGAGGTGCGGGCGGACAGGAAGATGAGCCTCGGCGCCGCATTCATTATGGACTGTAACGGCGCAAGTTGGGAGCACGTAAGACCACTGAGAAGCGGATTACAGTAGTCAAGGCGAGAAAGGACAGTGGAATGGACCAACACCTTAGTCGCATCTGGCATTAAGTAGGGGCGGATGCAATGTTTTCGAGATGGAAATGACAGGATTTGGCGATAGATTGAACATGAGGCTTGAAGGAGAGGTCGGAGTCAAAGAGAACACCTAGGCAGCCAGCCTGCGTGGTGGAGCTGATGGTAGCACCGTTGACTTTGAGGGAGACAGACACAGGAGTAACAACACTTGAGGGAGAAAAGACCAGAATTTCAGTTTTGGTCAAGTTTAGTTTAAGGAAGTAGGCAGCCATCCAGTTAGAAACAGCAGAGAGGCAGTCAGAGACACTAGTCAAGAGGGACGGGGAGAGATCAGGAGAGGACAAGTAGATTTGCATGTCATCTGCGTAGAAATGATATTGGAAGCCAAAGGAGCTAATGAGTTTACCAAGGGAGGCAGTATAGATGAGAACAGTAGGGGACCAAGGACTGAACCTTGGGGGACACCAACAGAGAGGAGTTGGAGAGAAGAAGCAGAGCCAGAGAAAGAAAAACTAAAAGAGCGCTGGGAGAGGTAGGAGGAGCACCAGGAGAGAGCAATATCTTGTAGACCGATATTGCGGAGGATGAGAAGCTGTTGATGATCAGTGTCAAAAGCCGCAGACAAGTCAAGGAGAATTAGGATAGAGTAGTGACCACGGGATTTTGCAGCGAGTAGATCGTTGGATACTTTGGTCAGTGCCAATTCCAAAGAGTGCTTAGCGCGGAAACCAGAGTGAAATGGGTCTAGCAGAGAGTTGGACTCGAGGAAGTCTGTCAATCTCGCATACACAATTTTTTCCAAGGATCTTGGATGCAAAAGGCAGTAGCGAGATAGGACGATAGTTGGATGGGGAGTTAGGGTCAAGGTTGGGCTTCTTTAGAATTGGGGTTACAGTTGCACGTTTGAAGGGAAATGGAAAAATACCAGAGGAGAGAGAAAGATTAAGAATTTTAGTTAGAGTTGGAGAAATAGAAGAAGAAAGAGTATGGATGAGATGCGAGGGAATTGGATCTAGGGAGCAGGTGGTGGGGCGGGAGGACTGGAGCAGAGCAGAAACCTGGTCAGGTGCCTGGTTAGTCTTCCACCCGAAGGGGAGATATGTGACGAAGTGCCCTTCGCCACTTGGTCCTGGAGAGGCCTGCTTGCCAGCCTCCTCCCCTGTGACTATGACTCTTTGATGTATTTGGCTTTAAAGCAAACAGTGACTGCACCTGGGTATTCCCCTGGGGTGATGGGAAAACACGCTGTGGGGACTTGAGATTGGTTTCTCCCCTTGGTAGGGTAAGCTGCCGCTGGGGAGAGATGCCTACGCCGCCTCCTTTACAGTTGAGTCTGGGAGTGTGAGAGAATTGTAGCCCACCAAAACATAAAGAGGCAGGAGTATATTATTGTTAAGACACCTCCCGTGTCTTTAAGCCAAACCGCCGTTTAGTAAACCTTCCCCGGCTGCAGTACAGTCTCTGTTCGCTTACTCTGTAACCCACGAACCAAATGCAGGGGAAGCGGCAATCTCCCGATCGAAATCCACGAACGGCTCCAAACTCCCGAACGGCAATATACGAACTGCTAGGAACCGAACAATAATATCCCCAAAGCGGCTTTCGTTCCATCCAGCAGTCTCTAACCGTGAAGAAGAAATCCCCCCAATAACGAGACAGAAGCTCCGCATTGAGGGTCAAATAAGCTCTGGTTTTACTGTGGGCTACCTGCCCGTATTTATGCAGGTCTCCCACCTGGTGGACACTCCCCTAGGGGACCAAATGGAAGACTTAAAGTACAGACAGATAGCAGGACATTTCTGACACACAGTCACATATTTTACCCACAGTACATTCTGATTCCCTCCCCT